TATTCTTGCCCCAAGAATCCCATGGACAGTAGAGCCTGGTTGGTTACAGTCCCTGGGGTTGCAAAGAGTCACACATAACTAAGTGACTTTCACTACACTACACTACTGTTTATCTTGCATTCCTTCCCCAACCGTATATTCATACTTCTAAATAGGAGACATTAATGAGGCTTTTCAGATATTCCTTTATTAACCTTAGCTGCATCTCTTTTCTTGGGAATTTAGTCAGAATTTGTCCATTGAGACGCCTTCCAATCCTGTTTCACTTTTCATAACACAATTTAAGTTTGAGTAAGTGGAAGGCACTGCTCTGACTTTTAGCACCTGCCCCATACTGTTTAGGTGAGATGGAATGAGGTTGTTAGATAGCATCCCTGACTCGATGGACGTGAATTTGAGCAAACTCCGGGACATAGTGGAGGACAGAGGAGACTCGAGTGCCTCAGTCCACGGGACACAAAGAGTCGAATGCGACTTAGTGACTGAACAACAACCATGCTGTTTCCTTTGCTTATTTCAGTTGGTCACTGCAAAGAAGATTTTGTAGTCCAGCACCTCGAGATTCTAATATTTGAGAATGTGAAGAATGAACACTCTGTAGAGAAATCAGTTTCTGTGACTGACACTGTCTTTCTGAACAGGAGTGAGCAGCCCCTTGACTGCAGAACAGCGTCCTGCCTTGCTGTGGTTCAGGAAGGAGAGAGCGCCAATTTCACCTGCAGTTTCCCTTCCAGCTCTTTCTATGCTTCACATGGATACAGATGGGAACCTGCAAAGGGCCCCAAGAACACGTTTGTAGTGAGTGCAAATGGGGATGAAAAGAAGCGAGGACGAGTGAGAGCCACTCTGAACACTAAGGAGGGCGACAGCTCCATGTACATCGGAGGATCCCAGCCTGAAGACTCAGCCACACACCTCTGCGCCTCCACACAGTGCCCCTCAGCCCGCTGCAGCCCACACCCAAACCTGGGCCTGCTGCTGCTCTGGGACCAGAGCCGAGGAAGGGCCACTGTCGGGAGGAAAAGGGAAATTCAAGGAATGACAGTGTTTGCAGTGATCAGGGGGAAATGCAGACACAGATAAACAGGCATTCCAGTCACTGTAGCTCCCTCAACTAAGTGGACTCTTAATGAACACCAGGAACCTTGACTCCTACCAGTATATTGGCCACATCATTGAGTGAGATCTCTAGCCTTCTCTTTTACCATGATTTAAAGTGTACTAAATGATTATTCAAAGATGTCAAACAAAATAATGTGACTCAGCTAGGGCAACATTTAAACTTCATTGTTGCTACATCCTGAGACTAGACCTTCTATGGCATTTCTTCACGTGTATGAATGCAACATGGAGATATGCCTTCCTCTCACACACCTGGCATGGAAATCTGCATGTTTTATACCACAACAGTCAATTATGCCTCATTAACTCATCGGAGATTTTGATTTTGGTTTAGTTCAACCTTCTGCATTTGTAAAAACCACTCGATATCTGAAAGGAGCAATGATAGGGGAAGTTCACCACTGTCTCCTGAGAAAGCTGTATGTGGGTCAAGAAGCTACATTTAGAATCAGACACAGAACAGCAGACTGGTTCAAAATTGGGATTGGAGTATGTTGGGGCTGTTATTGTCACCTTGCTTATTTAAGCCTATGCAGGGTACATTACACAGAACCCTGGGCTGGATGAATCACAAGCTGGAATCAAGACTGCTGGGAGATCTATCAATAACCTCAGATATGTGGATGACACCACCTTAATGGCAGAAAACAAAGAGGAACTAAAGAGCCTCTTGATGAGGGTGAAAAAGCAGAAAGAAAAAGCTGGCTTGAAAGTCAACATTCAAATAATTAAAACCAAGGCATCTGGTCCCATCACTTCATGGCAAATAGGTGGGGGAAAATTGGTAACCATGGCAAATTTTATATTCTTTGGCTGCAAAATCACTGGGATGGTGACTGCAGCCATGAAATTAAAAGACACTTTCTCCTTGGAATATAAGCTATGACAAATCTACATAGTGTATTAAAAAACAGAGGCATCACTTTGCCAAGAAAGATCCATATAGTCAAAGCTATGGTTTTCCCCATAGTCATAAATGGATGTGAGAGTTGGACCCTAAGGCTGAGCACAGAACAGATTGTTTTGAATTGTGATACTGGAGAAGACTCGAGAGTCCTAGGACAGTGTGGAGATCAAAGTGGTCAATCCTACTGGAAATCAACTCTGAATATTCTTTGAAAACACTGATGCTGAAGCTGATTCTCTGATAATTTGGCCACCTGTTGTGAGGAGCTAACTCATTGGAAAAGACCCTGATGCTAGGAAAAATCGAGGGCAGGAGGAGAAGATGGTGACAAAGGATGAGATAGTTGGATGGCATCCCTGACTCAATGAACACATGATTGAAAGTTGCACATGTCCTACTCTTTGCAACCCCATGGACTATACAGTCCATGGAATTCTCCAGGCCAGAATACTAGAGTGAGTCATCTTTCCCTTCTCCAGGGGATCTTCCCAACCCAGAGATCAAACCCAGGTCTCCCAAATTGCAGGCGGATTATTTACCAGCTGAGCCACAAGGGAAGTCCAAGAATACTGGAGTGGGTGGCCTATCCCTTCTCTAGCAGATCTTCCTGACCCAGGAATCCATATGGGTTTTCTGCATTGTGGGTGGATTCTTTACCAGTTGAACTACCAGGGAACATGAGTTTGAGCATATTGGGAGATAAGGAAGGACAGGGAAGCCTGGCATGTTGTTGTCCATGACATCTCAAAGAGTCAGACACAACTTAGTGACTGAACAACAACAAGAATTTAACATGTAAACCACAGAGAACACTCTTATCAGCTTAGAATGGGAAGAAATTTAAGCCTAGGTAAGAACAGGGAGGAAATGGGCCACAAAAGACTCAGTAGGAAATTTACTCCAATTTTTGACCTCCAGGGGGTGATGTTGCATTAACTGGAAATGTCACCTCTAATAAAAGCTCCATTTCACTTCTATGAGCTTCTGTACCTCACAGCTCACTGAGGTGCACATTTGAACAGGCTCAACACCAGGAGCAGTGATTATCAAGGAAGCATCTCTTACTGATAGTCACTAGAACTTGCTTGCATTGGGATCATTTGAATCTCAGATTTCCCTGTAATAGGACTCAGCACACTCTGGCACATTCCTTCCTTCTCAGGGGAGATCTTCCGCAATATGGCTCTCAGCTTCCTTCCTCTATAGCCATGTTCTCTACCACCCTTCTCTTGTTGGGAATGTTCTTCATAGGGAATCAGTAACATTATATTCCATGCTTCTGCCTCTACAGAACAAACAGAGTTCTGGTTGAAATCTGAATAGAGACACTGTCTCATTATAGGTAGGTCTGTCCTGGTCTCACTGATTCAGCATTGCTGTTGCAGAAAGAACTGGAGCGCAGTCAATGACTCGCCTGACAGTCAAATCACTGGCTCTCAGGGGCCCCCTGAAGTGGAGATGCAACTATTCCTCCCTCTAGTGAACTTCCCTATCTCTTTTTGTATGTCCAGACAATAGAGTAGGAAGAAAAAAGGTTTGCTTTATCTAGAGGTTGCCTGTAACAGGCATTCTAGGTTAAACACATTTTCATGCAAAGTTCCAAGTGACCCACTCAGATTGCCCCTCTCCTCTTTTCTGTCTTCTAATTCAGCTTCACTGTGTGCCCAATAATAATTATTGATTCTAATCAACTTTATTTTTCTACACTATTTCCCACAGTTCCTTTAGTGAACATTTGCCATAATCTCGAACTGTTCATCTGATCCTCGTGCCTGCAGATCACTTCAATTTTACCTCAGTGAAAATATACAGGTCCTCATTTTCCATCCTTTTTACCTCAAAATCCATATTCACAGAACTGTTATTATTCATAGGGTCTGAGAAAAAGCAAAGACTTGCCTTTCATATGTTTTAAAAACCCTTATTTTTCTCTTAACCTACTAGAGGCAAAAAGCAGAATACAAATAACAATAGTTAACAGTTAAAATGTATTTTGTGTAAAATAGATAACTAATGGGAAGTTGCAGTATAACAGGGAACCCATACTGGTGCTCTGTGAGGAACGAGCGCATAGGAGGGAGGCTCAAGAGGGAGGGGATATATATATATATATATATATATATATATATATATATATACACACACACACACACATATATAAAATACTGACTGATTCACTTTGTTTTACAGCAGATTGACCCAACAATGTAAAGCAATTATCCTCTAATTAAAAAAATAATAAAATTTATTTAAACATGAAATTTTATTTAAAATTTATTTTTAAATTATATGCTTTTAAATTAATTTATTATCTTAATTGGAGGATAATTATTTTGCAATATTGTCGTGGTTTTTGCCGTACTTCAACATGAATGAGTTTTAACAAAAATAAAAATAAAACTATTAGTTTTAATAAAAAATACTTATTTACAATTCTACTTTCAATGCTCACCAAGTGACATAAAATAATATCACTCTTTATGTAGGTTCAGTCTAAAATAAACATATATATATTAAAAGTAAACCTGTTTACTATTGCAAAATGTTCCAGCCAAGACTGCTATGAATACTGTGTTGATTCATGAGCACCCTTCAGAATCACAGGTGAGTGCATAAGAGATGCCAAAGGGGGGAAAAAAAAAAGGATTCTGAGAACTTCTGGGAAATAAAATTTCATTTTGCAAGAATCTCCTGCATCCATGCCAGCTAGATAATTAATGTTTGTTTTCTCTTCCCTAAAATCCTCCACAAATTCAAATCAGAGTTGCCTTCTTTGCAATGTTCTTAGAAAAGGACCCTAAAGTCCTAAAATCATGAACTTTCTATTTCTCACTCTCCTCACTCCTCTGCCGCCCATTCTGAATTAGTTGAGGTGGGAGGGTGGGGCTTCCTGTCACAAAGTGAGGGCCTGAGCAGGACTTGTTGGGTGAGCTGATTGGCTGCAGGAGCAGGAACATTTCCACAAGGGCTTATGACACTCCCTCCCTCAGGGTTTAGTGAAGTATCTTGCAGTGAAAATGTCTCAGTAAGAAGAGGAGGCATCATGAAGAGGCTGGCAGGCACTGTGCTGGGGCTTTTGTTTGCCCAGGTTTGCTGTGAGTTGGGGCTGCCCCAGAGGGGCATCTGAAGAATTGAGCAGCTGCTGTATTGTTAAGGGAGAGAAAGGAGCTGACAAGTCCTGCAGACTTTGTATCCTTCTCAACATCTATGGGATCAGGAAGGAGCGGGTGAGGGGGTGGTGGAGGCACTTTCAGGGTTTTGTAAGAGTTATGGTGACCCTCGCCTGTGACAGTTTCTCTTTCCTCATCTGGTGTGCGAGGGGTGGATGTGGAGCAGAGTCCCCCAGCCCCGAGTCTCCAGGAGGGAGCCAGCTACACGCTTCGGTGTAATTTTTCCACTTCCCCACGGAGTGTGAATTGGTATCTTCAGAACCCTGGGGGCCGCCTCATCCACCTGTTTTCCGTTCCTTCAGGGACAAAGCAGGAAGGAAGATTAAAGGCCACGACAGTCCCTGCAGAACGCCGCACCTCACTGCACATTTCCTCTCCGCGGACCACAGACTCGGGCACTTATTTCTGTGCTGCGCAGCACGGTGCTCCCCAGGCACCTGCAGCCTCTACACGAACCCTCCCGGGGCGCAGCCCCTCCTCCAGCCTCAGTCACACCGTGAGGCCCCACAGGGCGTTTGCAGTGCTTAGTATTCCTTACGGACATTGCTATAGGTATAACCACAAACACTTTTTAGCCCGACAGATTTGTGTTGGTCTTTTCCCTTCGCAGTCTATCTCCTTCTGCACTAGAACCTCTAACTTGTAACTAAAGATGTAGCTGATAAGAGGACAGAATTAAAATAAATATTTCCCACAGTATGCTGGACTCCAAAACAGTAAACATTGAAAGCAACTGAAAGAAGAGAGAAATCTCTCCAGTAAAGATATTATCCAGCTTGGTTGGGTGTCTCAAGAATGTTCAGGTCTGTCTCACTGCGATGTATCCCAACAGGCAACTGCAAGCACTGGTATCCCATCCTATCAGCGCAGCAAAGTGAACAGAAAATATTTGCTCAGTGTTTAATATGACTTTGACCACTTACAAAGTACTTCTTATAGTTCTGGGTGCAAGAAATCTAAAATCAGTATCGCTGTCTCTAGCCAAGGTCTTGGCAGGGTTGATTCCTTCCAGATTCTCTGAGGAAGAATCTGTTTCCTTTCCTTTTGTAGCTTCTGGAGGCCACCTGGATCCATGGCTCAAGACCCCTTCTTGAATCACTCCAAAACTTACTTCCACCACCATGGCTCCCTCCTCTCCTGGAGTCAAATATCTTTCTGATTCTGTCCTATAACGTATAAAGATTTAAAGCACAGAAATCTCAATTAAATAAAGCTGGCAGAAGAGGGGGAGTTCTCCTGACCTGTGGACATCACAGAGGGCAAAAGGAAGACAAAAGAATCCTCTTCTTCCCTGGTTAGTATGCCGTCAATAGAAAGTCAAGGGCACTCTGTTTACTATAACCCTCCTAATTTCCTTGTCTTCTCTATAAAAGCATTTCCTTTCTTTGTCCAGTGGGGACTTGCATGTGGCTTCTCATGGTTGCAGATCTGGAACTTCAGTCCTTTTGTGATATCAAATACACTCATCTTTTCTGGAGAAATATTTGGCAGTCTGTCATTTGTTCCCTGTACCTGTGGTTTTGTTTTTGTTCTGTTGTATTTGTTCCTTTGTTTTGATTCGTTTTTATATATCACATATAAGTAAAAAACAGTATTTGTCTTTCTCTGTCTGACTTATTTCCTTAAGTATAATACACTCCATATCTATCTATGTTGTTCCATTTGGCAATTGCACTCTTTTTTTTATATTTGATTAATGTTCCATTGTGTGGTGTGTGCGTGTATGAGTGAGTGTGTATAGACAGATAGTTAGATGAAAGATCGATATTTTCTCTATCCATTCATCTATAAACGAACACTTAGCTTGGTTCCAGATCTTGATTACTGTAAAAATGCTGCTATAAACATTGGGGTACAGATACAATTTGGAAGAGTTTTGTTTTCTTTGAACAAATACCTGGGAGTGAAATTGCTGGGTCATATGGTAGTTGTATTTTTAGTGTTTTGAGAAGAACCTCCATAATGTTTTCCATAGTGGCTCCTCCAATTTCCAACCCAATGGCAGTGCAGGGGTTTCCTTTCCTCTGCATCCTCACCACACTTGTTATTTCTTTTCTTTTGATAATTGTCATTCTCATAGATGTGAGGTGACACCTCATTTTGACATAGATTTGCTCTTTTTCTGAATATTAGAGACTTTGACATCTTTTCATGTACCTATTGGCTATCCCTTTGGAAAAATGGCTATTCAGGTCCTATGCCCAGTTTTTAATCAGACTGTGTTTTTGTTATTGAGGTATATAATGTCTTTGTGTATTTTGGATATTGATCCCTTATTGCAAATATCTACTCCCCATCACTAATTTGCCTTTTATTTTTGTTGATGGTTTCTTTGCTGTGCTTTAGATTTTAGTTTGATTCAGTTCAGTTCAGTCACTCAGTCATGTCCAACTCTTTGCGACCCCATGAATCACAGCACGCCAGGCCTCCCTGTCCATCACCAACTCCCAGAATTCACCCAAACTCATGTGCATCGAGTCGGTGATGCCATCCAGCCATCTCATCCTCTGTCATCCCCTTCTCCTCCTGCCCCCAATCCCTCCCAGCATCAGGGTCTTTCCAATGAGTCAACTCTTCGCATGAGGTGGCCAAAGTATTGGAGTTTCAGCTTCAGCATCAGTCCTTCCAAAGAAGACCCAGGACTGGTCTCCTTTAGGATGGACTGGTTGGATCTCCTTGTAGTCCAAGGAACTCTCAAGAGTCTTCTCCAACACCACAGTTCAAAAGCATCAATTTTTCAGCACTCAGCTTTCTTCACAGTCCAACTCTCACATCCATACATGACCACTGGAAAAACCATAGCCTTGACCAGACGGACCTTTGTTGGCAAAGTAAGGTCTCTGCTTTTTAATATGCTATCTAGGTTGGTCATAACTTTCCTTTCAAGGAGGAAGCATCTTTTAATTTCATGGCTGCAATCACCATCTGCAATGATTTTGGAGCGCCCCAAAATAAAGTCTGACACTGTTTCCCCATCTATTTCCCATGAAGTGATGGGACCAGATGCCATGATCTTAGCTTTCTGAATGTTAATTTATGTTAGTTTGATTAGGTCCTATTTATTTATTTTTCCTTTTGATGCTCTTGCCTTTGAGACAGAAAAAAAAAATGTTGCAAAGAGAAATGTCAATTAGCATACTGCCTATATTTTCTTTTTCAAGTTTTAAAAGTTTCAGGTCTTACATCTTGGTCTTTAATCCATTTGGAGTTTATATTTGTATATGTTGTGAGAAAATGTTGTAGCTTTAGTCTTTTCCTTTTAGGTGTTCAGTGTGGTCAACACCACTTACTGAAGAAACTGTCTTTTCCCCACTTCAAGAAGCTATATAAAATCATTCAGAGTAATATCTCTACGTGGCCACAGAGGGGCAACACCACTTTGGAGACAATTAACTTTTGTCCCACATACACAGATTCTTCAACTAGCCAGAAATGATCCTTTAAATATCTATTAAATTTTTATCACCAACTTTGCTTCAATTTACATCTCTGAATCTTATATGTACGTAGGTATCCATCCATCTACCTAAATAGTATCTGTGTATATTTCAGTCTAACAGTTTGAAAAATATGGCTTTGAAAATTAATATTTCTTTAAACAGCATGTTTTATCCTTTGACATTAAGGCCATATTAGTTTCTCTAGTATGAATTAATAATGTTTTCACCCAGATATATCTCAGACTCCAACCCCAGAATTCCCTTACCCCATTCTTTACTAAGAAATCTAGTGGTGGTGTAAGTTCCAGTTCAAGCAGCTCCTCCATCAGAACTACTCTCTGACTGAGTCCAGAAGTGAGTCCATTATCATTTTCTTGGGTCCATCATAGAGAAACACATTTCTCTTTAGTAGCTTTTATCTAAATGTACTTGTATTGGGAGTGGGTTGACTGAAGATTGCTACTTCTGTTTCTTTTTTGAATGAGACCCAAGGATGAACATTTTAGGCACTAGTAAACATATATTGAAGACATGCATGGATGAATGAATAAATAAAAAATAAAACACACCAAAAATTAAACAAACAATAAAAAATCCCCTTAGAGAGCTGGAGTAGATGGGATTAGATTGAGGAGTGGGAATGGTTATCATTGTCTCTTGTTGAACTGTGTTGATGTTTTTCTTTGATAGTGTCTGAGATGACCTCAAATACAGAGACCACAAACTCTTAAAAAAAAATGAGCCCCTTAATTTCTGTTTCTATGCTTTGCTGACCTCTAAAGCCAAATTGGTTCTTCACATTTTTGTATTTTACCTGTGAGAATAAGGTGTAACTCAGTATGAGAACTATCAAAAATATTTCATTACTGAATGATCATGGTCCCATATCTTCTGAATTCTGCAGCATTTTCCTAGCTAATTTTATCAATTTGGAGATGAAAGATTCTCCAGAACAAATTATTCCAGTGTATCTCTATTTTCTCCATGCTTATTCTTGGAGACATTTTATTTGCCTGATTTATATTTTATAAAAAGTATAAATTGAAATTGATCTAATTATATTTTATTAATTCTTAGGATCATGTAAATTGTGGAAACCCCAAAAGATGGTGTTAAAATGTAAATTCCATCAGGGAAAAAGGACTATGTATCTTTATGTTTTGCTCCATAAACTTTGCTTGTAATGATATATTATGCCCCTTGTGTATCCTCAATAGACTTTAATTAGTATTTGTAATAAAAAAAGAAATGCTCCCTACATACTAATCTTGTGACTTCATGGGCATCTCTCTCTTCCCCATTGTAAAATAACACTAGTCCTATTAAAACATCAAACTGTCCTGATACATGATTTTTAACCTTGTAGGAGGGGTAAGGAAAAGGAAGAAGGGGATATTGTGAGAGAAATTCTAACCTGCACTTTATCCTTGTAAGGGGGTCATTTCAGATTCCCAATGAATTTAATTTTCAGTGATTCTAATTTAG